GGTATTAACTACATTCCTATCAACAAGCACCTCGAATGGAAAAGAATTAAGTGCTCCAACCAAAAGATAGAGTGGCTGAATGGATAAGAAAATGAGACCCTTACATATGCTGCCTACAAGAGACTCAGTTCAGCTCTAAAGACACACACAATCTGAAAGATAAAAGGATGAAAAAAGATATTTCATTAAAATGGAAATTTAAAAAAAGCTTGGGTAGCATTAGTTATACCAGACAAAATAGACTTTAAAACAAAGACTATAACAAGAGACAAAGAAAGACCCAGTAATTCCACTTCTGGGTATTCATCTGAAGAAACCTAAAACACTAATTTGAGAAAATATACGCATCTATATTCCTTGCAGCATTGTTTATGATAGCCAAGATATGGAAGCAACCTAAGTGTCCATCAAAAGACATATTGATAAAGAAGAAGTGGCACATATATACAATGTAACATTACACATCCATAAAAAAGAATGAAATCTTGCCATCTGCAACAACATGGATGGACCTAGAGGGTATTATGTTGAGTGAAATAAGTCAGACAAAGACAAATGCCATGATTTCACTTATATGTGGAAGCTTAAAAACAAAGTAAATGAAAAAGCAAACGGAAACAAATAGATACAGAGAACATTTTTATGGTTGCCAGATGACAGGTGGGTTGGGGGGATGGGTGAAGAGGAAAAAGGGATTAAAAGGCAAAAATTGGTAGTTACAAAATAGTCGTGGGGATGTAAAGTATAGCACAGGGAATATAGTCAATAATATTGTAATAACTATATATGGTGTCAGATGGGTACTGGATTTATTGGGGCGACCACTTCATAAGCTACATAAATATCTAATCACTATGTTATATGCCTGAATCTAATATAATATTTTATGTCAACTATAATTGAAAAATTAAAAATATTACAAATAAAAATTAAATTAAAAATTAAAAACAATGATTGTTCATTGTCTTGGAAAAATGTGAATGTCAGAACAAGGGATAGGATCTCCCAGGCACTAGCGTCAGATGCCTTTTATATGTCAGTGCTGCATAGTTGTTGGAAGCCAAAGTTGCTTGAGCTCATAGTCCACTCCATCACTAACCATGTGAGCTTAGGCAATTTACTTAATTCCTGTGTGCTTCAGTTTTCTCATCTGTAAAACATAGGTAATAATAGTACCCACATCATAAGATTGTTGTAAAGGTTAAAAGAAACACTCTTAAAACATGGTATGAGCTTCATTCATTCATCCATTCAACAAATATTTGTGCAGTGCCTACTATTTGCCAGGCATTGCACTTGGTGCTTAGGATACAATGGTCAACAAATCAATGATCCCTGCCCTCTTGGAACAGCCTGGAAAGGGTGGGGACAGAGAAAACATAAGAAAAATAATACAATATAGTGCATTAGAAAATAAGTGCTATATTTCAAAAAAGTAGAGTAGGGTCAAAAATAGCGGAATGCTGCAGAGGTTGAAAGTTGACAGTATTAAATAAAACAGAGTAGGCCTCAAAGACAAGCTAAGAGTTGAACAATGACTTGCAGAAGGTAAGGAAGTAAGATATGCGGATATCATGTATCTTTTGAAGAACATTCAAGGCAGAGAGAACAAGTAGAACAAAATCTCTGGTGGGTGGGTGGGTGCCTGGATGTTCTCGGAACAAGGCAGTCAGTACTGCTGGAATGGGATCATCAAGGACAAAGTAGGAGGAGAGGAGGTCAGAGAGATATTGTGTGGGTTGGGGTGGGAGGGTAGGGCCTTGTAGGATGTTATATTTTGATTTTTACTGCAAGTCAAATTGATAGATTTGTAGGCTTTTGAGCAGAGTGGTAACATGATCTAACTTAATATTTTATAACGTTCTCTCTGGATTTGTGCTGAGAATAGATGGTGGGTGTGTGTTGTGGATTGAATAGTGTTCCCCCAAAAGATACGCTCAAATCCTTATGCTCCCATACTTATGAATGTGTCCTTATTAGAAATAAGATCTTTGCAGATGTAATGCAGTTACGATGAATTCACATTACATTGAAGTGCACCCTAATCCAATAAGTGATGTTCTTATAAGAAGAGGAGAATTTGGGTACACAGACTCATACAGAAAGAAGACAGCTATGTGAAGATACACACACATAAGAACAGCATGGAAGACAGAAGCAGAGATTGGAGTGATGCGTCTGCAAGCAAAGGGAGGCCACAGATTGCTGCCAACCACCAGAGGTTAGGAGAGACAGATTGTCCCTTAGAGTCTTCAGAAAGAATCAACCCTGCTGACACCTTGATTTCAGACTTCAAGCCTCCAGAACTGTAGGAGAATAAGTGTCTCTTGTTTTAAGCCATCCATTGATGATACTTTTTTTTACAGCAGCCCTAGAAAACTAATACAGTGGGCAAGGGTAGAAGCAGTTAGGACGCTATTGCAATAGCCCAATCAAGGGGTGATGGGAGCCAGGATCAGGGTAGTAATGGTAGAGATGGTGAGAAGCCATCAAATTCTGGATACATTATGAAGGTACAGCCAACAGAATCTGCTGATGTAGAGCATGCAGTGTGTGAGAAATGTTACCTATTATTATTATCTGTGTGAATAATTTAAATATTATCAACATGTAATATATACCTATAAATGTATATTTTTTCATTTCCCCAAATATCCCAGTTTGAGGCTACTCAAACAAGGATCATTTGCCAGGGAAATCAAAAGAAGCTTATTTTGCTGTGTGATCAAAGGATAAATCACAAGGGGATCAAATATATGGTAGCTGAAGGAAACTGGATTTTGAGTGGTAAACACACAATAGAACATATAGATATCAAATTATAATGTATACTTGAAAATTATATAATTGTATTAACCAATGTTACCCCAATAAACTTAATTAAAAAAAAGGATAAATCACATTATTTCACTGGGTCTCAGTATCCTACTTGGCAAAACAAGAAGGTTGGGCTCCATTGTATGACTTAATGATTCTACTATTATCAAGTGCCTTGTTGCTTTGATATTGATAAAGTTTCCAGAGGATAGTAAACTGCTTTCTGAATTCCACATTTGAAAACCTATCACCAAATCTGCAGTGCCTTTGATAACAAAATTCTGTCCTCATTGTTGTCGATTCTCTGCCACTTAATACTTTGAGTGCATTGAGGGGGTGACCCACCATATTTAAAAATGGAATTAAAACCAAAGTAACCCTTTGTACATTTTTTCAGGGATATGGGGTTGCCCAATGGGAGCCTGAAATAAAGGTTTGGAATTCTGGGTCTGGAGACTTCAGACTCAACTTTCCAGAGCACACCCTGAGTTATCATCATCAGTATGTTTATATTTATATTTTAGGAGGGTAAATTTATATAAGACAAGGTAAAAATAATAATAGCAAACATTTACATAGAGTTTGCTATGTGTCAGGCATTGCTCTGAGGGTTTTAAAAATATTAATTCACTCAATCCTCACAATACTCCTATGAGTTAGGTACAATTATTATTCCTATTGTACAAAGGAGGAAATTGAGGCACAGAGCAATTATTTTACTACACTTATAAGAGATTTTATATCAAGCAAAAATAAACAGGATCTGTTAAAAATAATTAAAACAAAAATGATATATACAAGGCAATTTGGAGACTTAATATCAAAAAAAGTTTTGTTAGAATACCACGAACTAATTCTGATAGGATCCATAGAAAACATAAATTGACATTAGGCCTCTTCCTACCTCCAACCCTTATTGACATTGTTTCTCTAAAGATAAAGGAGACTGAGAACTAGGCCTCAGGGCACCTAAATGCAACATTGCCAGCTCCCAAATACCTGTTAGATCTGGTTCCCAATAAGTTTTGAAATGTATCCTAGTATTGTTTCTAAATCTCGCCCTTGCTCGGTCTTGATAAATTCGACTGTCAGTTTTTAAATGTGCTTCAATCTCCTTTTACTTGAGATTCTAGAGCCAATGTTTTCTTTCATCCTCATGCTTCCTACAAAATATTGGCTTCCCTAAAAGTCACTATTACTACTCTTCTGGACACCTCAGTTCCACTCTGTTTCAGGTCCCACAATCTTTGCCAGGTCCATCTTTTGGTCAGGCCCTGGCTGTGTCCAAATCAGTCTATATCTAGAGTGTGTTGTCACTGCGTGGGACCAATTTGGTGATTGAAGAATCAGCATTGGGCAACCAGGCTAAACAAAGTCTGAGAAGATCATTGATTTATACAACAAAATACCATGACTAAAATCTACACCTTAATGAAGAATATGGGCTTGTTCTCCAGCCAAATCCTGAAAGTTGTGAGCAAACTTTGAAGCTGGTAGAGAGTAGTTTTGGAATTATAAAAGGAAAACAATTCACACAGCCAGTAGTATAGAACTAGTTGCCCACAATAGGTTTTAAATTCAAATAGGTGCAAAAGGGGTTTAGAGATATTCCTGAATCATAAATGACGAAATGATGGACTACCTGAGATACACACTCAATCTCCCAGACGGAAACAGTCAGACGTTAGTGCTCTCCAAGGTCCTTGGAGCCTTCCTCGGCCAGAGGCAGAAATTCTGGCCAGATCGTTGCGCTGCGGGGCAGAGGTGTACGTGGGGGTGGGTGGCAGGTTGCAACAGTCAAATTGATAGGGACCCTGAAACAAACTCAGGTGACCTTTCAGAGCTCACCCCCCTCCACGTCACGTTAGTGACCTGCAGGCCTATGGATTAACCCTGTGCCACTCCCTCCTTCTCCGACAATCACAGTGTCCAGGTGGCTTTGTGAGTCACCCAGAGCCTCCGTAATAAGCCCACTGTGGGTGAGGTCGCCTCGCAGTTTCTCGCCCCTTCCCACCTACTCGGCTCTCTTGTGATTTGAGCTCCACTTTCTTACAGGCAGAAGCTGCCCGAAGCCTGCCGCACTGACTATGCGCAGTGCTCGGCCGGGCTGTGAGCTCCAGCCCGTGGCGCCCCCGTCCCTTTAAATCTGGCCGGCCGGTTGCTAGGCAACCGCGCGGCCAGCGCTGGCGCTGCACTGCAGAAGCTCTAACCCAGGCCGGCCCTGCCGAGGCGCCGTGGCCAGCGCCGAACTGAGGGCTGCCCCCGGTCGGTAGTGGCCGGCTTTGGGGAAGAGGGGACAGGGCCCACCGGACCCCACCCATGACTCCAGGTACAACTGCGCGCGGGAAAGCCGGGCTCCTCCAGGCTCGCCCGTCTTCTTCCTGGGCACGCCTAGTCTATGGAGACATTCCCCACCTCGACCCCATTGCGGGTTTCCTCTTAAGAGCCCCAGGCCGGGAGGTGGGGAGCATTTAGGAGGGAAGGAAACAGGGCGTGGGAGTCAGGGTGTGAAAGGAAGAGTGGGGTCGGGCCTTACCCGCTGCTCTCTTTCCAACTGAGCGCCAGCCAGAGGGTAGGGACTGGGGAGGTGGACGGTGTCACCTGCGGTGGTGGCTGGGAAGCACCCTATCCCAAGCCACCTTCTCTCTACTGGAAGCAGTGATGGCAGGAGTTTCAGTTAACCATTTACAGAGAAAGCCCCAAACTATACATGCTTAGATACAGCTTTATAACCAAGAATGTGACTTCCATGCTAATAAAGTACTCAGCCTTCAGAATTAAGGAGACTGTCTCTTTTCTTCTAGAAGGAATCATTTCACACTAGTAACAAAGAATTGGGGTAACAGTCGTTCACATGGCTCAGTTTTCAATGACACTTTGCTTCACTCTCAATATCTGCCAAACAATAGAGAAGACAATTTCTCCCACAAAGTGGACACTTGGCTTATATGTTAGGACCCTGAAAGGTTAAGACACAGATTGGAATCACTGCCCTTTTTAATGATTTTTTTCCTTTTTAATGATTTTTTAAATTAACTGTGCTCTGAGGGTGGGAGGCAAGGCCTAGACTTCAGCCCTTTGCTAAGGTGGCTTTGCCATGCTCATTAATAACAAGCATGCTGCTGCTGCTGCCACCAGTTGTGTCTCATTTGTTCAATAGATGCTAAAGGTGAGGAGATACTCTGTTCGACTATGATGCTACTGTGATTTTGGTTCCATTTGATATTTGCATTGCTTGGGAAAGGAAGACTTAATAGCACAATAGTTGAGAAAGTGGGCTGACATGTTAAAAAGAAAATTTGCTTCAAAGTACCTGGCATCGCATTTCAGAAGAACCAAACGACATTCTAAGTACTTTTTAAGTTGCATCTCAGATAGAAACACAGATTTAGGCATTCTGGTTAATTATATTTTCTAATTAAGCTGGGGGGATTTTATTTTCTAGTTCAAACTGGAGGAGAGCAATGGCATTGAATAGAAGACCTTGGACGTCAGGAAGTGTAAGTACAGTTGTGTTGGCTGATATCTTGTTATGGATGTTTAGAAACACAGAGCCTTGCCCAGTGTACATCTTCAACCTTGTAACTAGGTCATTAATCTGCATTGCCAGTACACTATCAAAAAAAAACTTCATAAAAATACAAAAGAAAAGTATCCTGAAGACTAGCTGAGCCAAATAAACTTTGAGGAAAAATAAGTCCTGTCCCTAAAACATCACCCAAAACACTTCGTAAGCCAGTAGATAAATTGTAAGTATTTACAAAAACTCAATTAGAATCAAAGTATTATAGAATTTTCAGGAAGAGTATTAAAGATCATTTATTCAAATATTTATTGAGGGCTGCTATGTATTGGGCAACAGCTAGGAATACAAAGATGAATAAGATGCCAGGAGATCACAGTGTATTGGTAAAATAAAAGTATGCATGAAATGCTGTAGAAGAACAGGAAAAACTCAGAGTGCAGCATCATCCTTGCTGATCTTCAAATTGATACTCCAAGTGCAATATTTCTAAGTTATTGGTGGCTCTGAAAAACACCAAGATATTTCTTGGTAGAGCAATTTGTGATAAAAATGCAAATATCTTTGGTTGTAGAAAAGACTACCACTTTTCTGATTAGAAAAAATCAATTTAGTTTCAGAAATTTGGTGGCATCAACAACTTACAGGATTTAGGGCTAATTCTTCCTTGAGGGTGCAGGTTAAATTAATGTAAGATTTGAGTTTAGGTTCCCCTCTGCTTACTGAATACCACCTACATTTCTTTTCAAACTGACTTTTTCTGAGGTCTGCTGACTTCAGGCTGGCAACTTTGGAGCACATATCTTTGGAGAAGGGTTGGATTTTTTAACTGACTGGCTTATGTTCCAAGAGAGGGTAAGAAAAACCTAGAAAAGAACGAGACCCATTGTTTTCAGTATACTTTAAAATCACTTCCATTTTCATTTTCATTAATTTTCTTAACCATCTGTGAAATAGGTATATTGTCTCTCTTTTACACCTGAAGAAACCGAGTCTCACAAAAGTTAAGTTTTCTCATAGTTCTAAAGTGCAGGAGCCAAGATAACTGATTCCTTCAGCCTTCTTTTTTTCATCATAATCCACATTCAGTTCCTTTCTCAAGAACTTCCTTTTCCTTTTTCCTACAATTTTTCATGGTAAAACATTTTGACCCACCTTGACTTCCTTTGGGTCTTCAATTTGGTATTTAATAGTTTTCTGCAAGCCAGTGATTCTCAAGAGGGTGGAGAATGGGCAAAGCTCCCTTAGATGGAGCAGGTCTGAATCTTATCAAAATTAAGAGAGAGAGTAATGATGGCAGTGTTTTCTGCCTGGGAACAGTGGGAGCAGGGGAAAAAAAGGTTGAGAACCACTGCCTTTAAGTGAGAACACATTGGACAACTGAACAAAGAAGCAAAGCCAGTGACTTTCTTTTTAGCAGACTCTCTCCTCCCTGCCCCCATTTTGGTCAAGCGTTTTTTCTGAGGGTCGGGAGAGCTGAAACCATCAAAGAATAATGGGGAAAAGTTTCCTGGGCTAAGAAGGGCCCTTTGTCTTACCCTTAGTGCCCCTGGGCTGTGATTTAAAAGCCATGGCTCTAGGTGAGAGGAGCTGAGGGTAGTGACAGAAGATTGTCCATCACAAGTTGGAAATGACCTTTTCCAACCATCATTCCAATTTACAAAGTTAGGGGTGAAGCGCTCTTGTGAGGTGGGAAAAAAACTTTTGGAGGTTTTCCAGAACTGTTTCTCAGTCCCTGCCTACCCTTGCCTGGAAGAATAATCTCTTTTGCAGACAGATCTAGATTTGTGCAAAGGAGGTAGTCCTAAAATTTTGAAATAAAATTCGAATGTATATGAGATAAGGCAACAGGAAAAAAGATCTTTGATTTTTATGTCATCAAATTTCCCAAAAGCATGGGATTTAAAATATGAATATTTTAGAAAACAAATAGATTTTACATATTTGATCACTTATCCACCTTAATATGAGTATATACCTCAGGGCCCCATAACTTGAAAATGAAAATGAGATGGTTTTGTAGGTTTCTCCTTTTATAATAAACAGAAGTGTATCATTTTCTAGAACTACTTGAAAATAGATATGCATTCACCTAAGATTTTTATAGAATGGTTTACCTAAAGATCAATAACAAACGATCACTCTTTGCTTAGCTCTCAACAATTATATTTTCAATTTTATTTTATCAGTGCTTCCCAAATTCTTTAAGTGAATATAAACCATTTTTATGAGATCAGAAATCCCTTACTCCACCAAAATACCTTATTACTTTGCCATTGCAAAAAGAAGAAAGTCACCAGAGGATAAATGGTGATATGTTCAGGGAGACATTAACTAGAACCATCAGGAGTCCATTATTAATTAATGTCACACAAATGAATAGATGAAGCCATATTATGGACACCCAGGCCTTAATAGTGCAGTCCCAAGGACTTTGGGAGATTGCTGTCTTAGAGGACACTAATGTTATTTTTGTTATATGACTTTATATTATTTTTCTGTGTTCTGGCTTATTTGTTTCTTTAAATGTTTCATTGCTCTTGGACCTCCTTTCCCTCCCCTTCAGTCCTTCAGTATCCAGCATTGTGTTAGGTAGGCACTTATAACAATAAATGTTCATAATTGACCCACTAAAAAGTCATGCTTGTACTTTCAATAATGGCTTCTGGTTTGACGTGCCTTATTCTGCAACAAATTAACTAATCAAGTTTACTGCGAGCACAGTGGCTGCTACTCTAGGGTAGAGGGGTGTCATTGTTTCAAAGCATATTCCTTGTCCTTGCCAGAGAATACCAATGCCATACTTGTTCTCCATAAAAAAACAAGCAGTGCAATTTGCAAGGAGAAAATGAGACTGGCAGCTTTTACCCCCAGTCTGGGCTTTGCCATACTCTGTGAGTAGATTTGGGAATAAGCCCTTAAAGGAGATCTTTCCAATGAAAGAGAAAAAAAGAAAAGAGAAGAAAAAGAAAAGAAAAGAAAGCAGCTCAGAGACCCCTTGACCCTGGCCTGTGTAAGCTGTGGGAGGAGAATTCAAAAAGGCTTTTCAAACCTTTCTCTTTCTATCCTTTGATATGTGACATGCAATTCTCCTTACCCTCCCCCCTTCATTCTTCCTCTGTCCTTTTGTGGCCCTTTAAGAAATACCTAAGCTCTGAAAATAGTGGGTTGTTTTTTTTCAATTTGTGGAATGACACCTCGTAGAAGGGTAAAGAGAAATTTTAGAACAAGCACTGACCTAGGAGACAGGGTCTCAGTTTTACCATTAGAGGCTGTGTGGCCTTGGTCAAGTCATTTAACTTCTCTGAGCCTCAGTTATACAATAATTGGACTCTTCTCAGTTCTATGAAAAGCATTGGCTATATCAGCAAATTGTACAGGAGCTCAGGAAGAAAGGTAATGAAATATATATGTATACACACACACACACACACACACACACACACACACACACACACATATATACATGTGATAAGAAGCGTTTTTATCTTTTACAGAATTGTCTCGGAAAAATTTGACTGCTAAAAAATGTGACTGGCAATTAGCATCACCATCTTTTCTCTTTCCTCCATTTCTTTCCTTTGTGAATGCTGTAATAATCCCCACTCGTTTGCATTCATGTGCTTGAGAGAAACCAGAATTATGATTAGCTTTCCCCTTTAAGAACATATAGATCATAGATGCTTCTGGGTGGTGACTAGTAGAGTAATAAAAGTCAAAAAATACTTCCAGAAGAAAGGAGATGATGCTTCAATGGCAAATGCATACCATGAATTTCAAGTCTCGGCTTATTTCTCTGGCCTGATTGACTAAACTTTAATAAAGCTTGGCTTATGGCTTTTGAACCCATCATTTCAATGCCTTCGTTGAATATTTGTACCTTTTCCTTTCCTCAAAGCCAAGGAGTTTTCAGTGGAGATATCCTCTTAGGGATAGTGAGTTCCTTCTCTTTTTGGGAGGAGGAGGGGTCAGGCATGTTTAGAACATGTAGATATCAAGTTTATTCTCTCACTGTCTGCAGCAAGGAAGATCTGTGAAAATTTAAGCTACTGTTGCTAAAAAGAAAATACTGGAGAGATAACATATCAAAAAGTGGTTATCCCAGGGCCTTGGTATTATGAGGGAGATTCCTTTTGTTTTCTGTGCTTTTCTGTATTTTCCAAAATTTTACAAATAACATGCACTACTATTATAACCTTATGTAATGAAATATTATATAAATATAAAATATATTAAATAATATAATACATAATTTATAATCTCTA